GCTTTGCCTGGTATTCTGTGGTATGGCTGACGGCGAACTTCATTGCACCTCCACCCTAGCCGCCATCAAGCCGGGGTGTCTTCTAATTGCCTCTTGATTTGATCTAGAGGTTTTCTTCATTACATTTGATCTTTCACATAGTTAAAAAAAAAGTCTGCTTTTTGTTTATTTCTTGTGTTTTTTGTTAAAACACCAAAGCAGAAACAAGGAGTCGAAAGGCTCAACATTATATTCTTCCTAGCTCTATTTATTTTTAGCTAGTGGTGTAAACAGGCTTTAGAAACTGTTGCTAATATTAGGCCATTAAAGGGTGTTATTAATATAAGAAGGTTGGGGTAGTTAAACATTTTTATGTTGGAATAATGATATTATAAATAGCCTATGATTACTGCCAAGTACCATACCAAAATTTAAAATAAATTCCTGAAAGCAGCAATCATTAGAGCTGGACTGTTCAAGCAGACATGATGGGTAAGGGAAAAATCTGGCTAGGCTTTAAAGATTAACAAAAAGAGGCAATAAGGTGTTCTAGGCACTCTTCCTGACACTATTAGACAAGGTCTTAGTTAGGCATTTTAATTTAGAATAAACACAGTAAAATTCACTATTGAATCTACTACATTCAATACGAAGCTATTCCAAAAAAAAAAAATTCAGTCTCAGCCTGTATTAGTGAATATAGAATGTCTATAATGTGTAAGAGAAAATGTTTCAATCTGCATTGGTTGAACAAAACCGGCAATTCTGGGATTAAGAGGGACATTGATAAACGCGAATAGTTACAGAGGAGAACAGCCATGATAGTGAAGAAATTTAAAACCACATCATTTGAATGATACTGACTCAATGGATGAAAATATAGACTCTTTAATGCATAAAAATAAATATCAGTTCGTATCTCATCTCTGTAGTTTATTAACATGTGAATTTGAACAAGTCATATAACCTTATCTTAATTTTCTTTATCTGTAATATGGGTTGTTGTGAGAACTGACTGAAATACATGTATGTTAAAATACATGTATGTTAAAATGCAAACTAGTGTGGCACTGCAGGATAAGTACTGGATGGCTAACTGCAAGATCAGCAGTTTAAACCTGCCAGCCACTCCTCAGAAACTCTGTACAGGCTTGCTCTGAGTCGGAACTGACTCGATGGCACATAACAACAACAAGTTACTAACCTAATGCTTTTATTCTTGTTGTGTGCCGTCGAATCAGTCCTGACTCAGAGTGACTGTGTATAGGATTTCCAAGAAGCACCTAGTGGGTTTGAACTACCGACCTTGTGGTTCACAGTCCAGTGCTGATCCACAGCATCACACCAGAAGATTGACAGGAATAGTTAAAGGAACTAGACCGGTATAATTAAGTTTTTGAAGAGAAAAATGAAGGTATAAAAAAGGGCTTGGGGATGATGTCTGACCCCCTCTGACGTCATAAAGAGGAAACGGATAAAATCTGTATCAGCCAATTGCCTTTTTCTATAAGGCTAGGGCCAGACATGCCTCCACCATCAAATATTACTTACCAAATCTGAAACCAACTTGCATATTTTTCCAAATTTCTCTCTACTTCTCATGTAGCTTTGATAATTTATTGTAATAACCACACAAAATTCACAGACCATATTCACAATTATGGCATTTATTAAGAAAGTTAACAGGCTACAATTCAGGATCAGAATTACTCAGGACACAGGTCTTCTAGCCTCCATGCCTGCAGGCACACCTCTCTCTGGTCCTTGACCATTGAGACACATGGTCCTTTAGTCTTGGCCCTGCTTGGGCAATGTTGCAAAGTTCTTTAGCACTGCTGATAAATGCCCAAAGGCCTCCCAGTTCTGCTTAGCCTGAAGTTGCTCAGCTCTAACTCTATGGGTTAGCAAGCCTAGCTTCCCAGATTAAGTGACTGGAGGCACTCCACTTTATAAGCCAGACGCCTTCCTGAAGGCACTCATCTTTACTCTCTCTGGGGGCCTCAAAGCTCACCAATCTGTCTCATGGGTGTTGGTTTTGCCTCTGCCACTTCTCTGTTACTTTTCTGCTTCTTGGATACTCCAGCTTTCTGTCTCTGAATTGAGGAAGTTCAGTGCACAGAGATCTTGTGGTCCAAAGGACGTCCTCCACTCTTGGCTCTTCTTTCTTGATGGAAGTGAGATCCCCCTTTTTTGCTTCTGAGATGGTTCATTTTAATTCTCATAAGGATGGCAAAGTTGACCAATCCCTTCATTATAGTTCCAGGCTTTTACAATCACAGTTAGCCGTATTAACAATCACTCTGAACATAATCATACCTTTTCTTGCTTAGACCCATCTGGAAAAACAGGAAATAAGATCTAATCTGCAAGGGATTTACAAAAACTCTGGCTAGAAGAGCCATATTCAATAATTCAATGAAGGGGAAAAATAAGACATTTTCTATAAAGCTCTGGAGAATGGTAGTTGTAAGGATACAGCTGAATTTAAAAATTTTGTTTCTAACAATAAGTGTTAGCTGACAGTAAATTGCACTGCCTCAGAAAGTGATGGCCTTCCTACTCCTTTCCCCTCTCTATATAAGGAGTACAACTTGATATTGCTGAGAGTATTTATGCATCAAGTACTCAGCTAGACATGGCAGATCTTTTGTAAATACTCTATTGTAATTTATTTGACTGATATTTATTAAGTTTCTGAACCGTGAGAGGGACTATTCAGGTGGTGCAGGAGTTTGGTGGTGGTGGTGGTGATGTGCCGTGGAATTGGTTCTGACTCATAGTGACCCTGCACAGGGTTTCCAAGGCTGTAAATCTTTACAGGAGCAGAAAGCCTCATCTTTCTCCCGTGGAGCAGCTGGTCGTTTTGAACTGCAGACCTTGGGGTTAGCAGACCGATTCGTAACCACTATGCTACCAGGTCTCCTTTGCAGGGATTTATCAGTCTATAAATTTATGGTTCCAGGAGCCACCCTTTCCTTGATTTTTTTTTTGTTCTTTTACCTTTCTGACCATATCTCCCTTGCCTTCTTCAACTGTTTTTTTCTCATTACTGCCAATCTCAGTATTTTCCAATTTTCATTGTCTTTGCTTGCTTTCTGCTTTGGCTATCTCATCCAGAGTGTCTGACCTTTATAAACTGTTAGATTTGTCTTTCTAAAAATGTGCCCATGCTCAAAAATATCACTGATTCCTCATTGTCTAGTGAAATAAAAAAGCTTGTTGTTTAAGGCCTTGGCATTGCAACCCTTTTCTCTAAAGTTATGTTCATTAGGTCTGTAACCTTTGGTCAGGTTGGATAACTCCCTTTCCTCTCCTACCTATCTTCTCCCCCCCCCCCCCCAATTAAAAAATCATTCTCTTGCCTACTTGTCTCAGGACAGGAAGATAGCAAATCTCTACGTGAAACTCTCTCCTTCATTTAAAGTGTTGTTGAAAGTGCTAATATATTCATGTGGCCTTTCCAGATACCTCTAGGGTGGAAATAAACTTGGGTCCCATATTCTTTAATATGACATCCTGTTTTTATCTTTTCACCCTAGTTTATAAATTATTAGAATAGTTGTGTGAGACTAAGGAGAAGAATCCATTTTGTATCTAGGCTTAAGCACATCCTCCTGTTCCAGGAATGTGCCACATCAGCTCATGCTGCATTAGAATAGCCCTTCACCCCTAGCAACAGCAAGAAGTAGATAAGCGTAGACAGAGACAGCTCAAGGCCAGATGTTTCCCCTTATCCTACCCTAAGAATAAAGACCACCAGTACTAACTAATTAGACTGTAACATCTCATACCTTGCTAAATATCAACCAATCCAAAAATTATAAAGCTGAAAACCCCCGAGCTTGCTTAAAAACTCTATAAAAACCCTGCTAATGAAGAGTTCAGGGCTCCATCCCTAGTCCACTGCATCGGATTGTATGGAGTCTGGGCTCGAGCTTGAATAAAAACAGCCCTTGTGCACTTGCATCGGCATCGGGTCCTTGGTGGTCTGTGGGGACCTCGAAATCTGGGCATTACAGTTGCTGCTATACTTTAATTGTGGTGGTGGTGTGCCGTGGAGTCAGTTCCGACTCACAACAACCCTGAATAGGGTTTTCAAGGCTGGAAATCTTTACGGGAGCAGAAAGCCTCATCTTTCTACCACGAAACAGCAGGTAGTTTCTAACTTATGACCACAAGGTTAGCAACTCAACTTGTAACCACTATGCTACCAGAGCTCTTTGTCTGTCAAATATTTGTTGGCAGGTGAATTAATTTATACAATATGAAACTTTATAAAAGAAATTGTGTTTTATGGGTGATAAATTCATATATTCAAAATAGGTTATTGAACACCTACTTACTATATGGCAGATACTGTTCTAGGCATTGGGAATACAGCAATGAATAAAACAGTTTCTGCTTTCCTATATGCTAAACTGGGGGAACAGAAAATGACCAACATATCATGTCAGATGTAAAGTGAAATGAAGCAAGATAATAAAACAGGATAAAATAGATGAACAATGACAAAGGTGCTATTTCTATAGGGGTAAAGGAAGCCTTCTCTAGCAAGATGGTATTTGAGCAGAAATAATAAATATAAGGGGTCTTGGTATGGTGCTGTAGGATAAACATGATTAAAACTAACCAAAAAATCAGCAGTTCAAACCTATCAGCCACTCCTTGGTAACCCTATGCAGGGTCACTATGAGTCAGAACCAACTTGATGGCACCTAACAACAATAACAACAATCCATATAAGTGCCTACTCTGCATGAGGGTTAATTTAAAGATTATCAATAAGTTACAACTTTGAGAAAGAAAATAGATTTTAATTTTTTGAGAAATTACCTTGAGAATTGAGGTCTCACACTGATCATAGCTATGGGCTTTGTTTTTCACAATAAATTCTGTAAGATAAAAACATTCTTGGTTATCTTTTACTTTAGTGTAGTAGGAAAAAATGCACAAATGTAATGTTTTAATAATATATTCTAATGTTATCTTAAAGAGAGTCATATATTTTTCTAAAATTTCAGAATTGATGGAGCCAAAAAAAGTTTAGACAAAACACTGTGTAAAAGAATACCTTCACTACCAGAGCCAGATTATCCTACTACTGTAAGTTCAATTTTCTCTATAAAAACTTTATCCTCTTACTATTTTAATTTTTCATTATTTTAAAGTTAGTTTTAATATATAAAAATGAGCTGTTTAAGCTATTTGTATTTCATTTTTCTCTGATTTAATTATATCTTATTTGTTTTTGACAGATGGCCAGTGAAATTAAAAAAAAAGGAGTGAGTTCAATTTTTTTTTATATTTCTTGCTTTGTAAAAGTTCATTGCTTCTAAGACCATCTGCTAAAGTCCAATCTATAAAAGGAAGACATTTAGAAACTGAGATTTCTGTTTTCTCTATCAAAGGGAGCAAGTTCTATCATGGGGGAAAGTTTTGGTTTTGAGTTTTATTTTTCTGCCATTCATTATTTGAGGATTAGTCGTGTAAAGGTTTAGTTATTTCTTACTACTAAAGAAAGTGACCATTATAGCTTTTTTTTGGGGGGGGGGCGGGGGGGGCGGGGAAAGAGTTTGATATAGCTCTTTATCCACTCAACAAATTTTTGTTCAGAATCTGTTGTCTATTGTGTGCTAATAACATGCTAGATACTAGAGATGAAAAAAGAAAAGGTCAGTGACTGCCTAGATAACACCATGGGCTGTGATGTGATTGGTGAAAAGATGTAACCTGTAAAATTCTTTATTGGTAAATGGTGTTGAAATTTATGGAATTGTCTACATAAAATAGGAAGCTATGCTCCAAGTGCACTATCCCTTTTGGGCATCTTCAGGGGTTATCTGTGGCCTTAATACTTAGATGGGTATGTATTTTGGTATTTTTTTAATGCTTTCTGAATGCCTCCAGGTAGATGTGATCAGGAAATGGGCTTCCCTTTTCACTCTTCTTCCTGAGAAGTTTGAAGATACCACTGATGGTCATTTTCACGTAATTTAGGATTTAATTTTTGGCCTATTTCCTCTTTTGTCTGCTTGTGCCGCTCCACAATCCCCATTCAGTCCTTTTTTCTAGTTGAAACAGTTCAGGGCTGGCTGTGGCCGTTTGGTTTTAATTGGAAACTGTCTCTTTAAATTTCGAGGAGATCTGTGCGCATGCGTAGGAGAACCCTCCGAGGGGGGGCTGTGGTGACCACTAGCTCAGGCACCCCTATAGTCACCAGAATGGAGGTACGCAGACAGCAAGGAACCAATGAACAGCTAGCAAAAGAGAAGAATGTCCACACCTTTATCTCAGCGGTTCTGCCAGGCGTCTGTGGCTGTTCCGATCTTTCCCCCATGTGGTCTCACCCAAGATGGTGGCTCCTGGAGCAGCCGAGCGTCCTGGACTAGAAAGCAATAGATTTCTTGTTTCTGCCACAAATTCCCCCAGCTGTGAGCCTTCCAACCTTCTAAGTATTCCTTTATATGTGGTTCAGAGTTCTGGGACCATCCCCTGAACCTGCTTGTGTCGGGTATTCTGTGTTGTTGTTGGCGGAGCTCTCTGCTATAGGTCCACCCGGTCCGCCATCTTGTTTGTTCCTTTTTGTGCCCAGACCATCAATTTTACATTTAAGAAATCATAAACTTTGGTTCATTACAATGATTTAAATCCCTCCCATGTACCATCAGTTAATAGTATGTCTCTGTATTTACTTTAACTCTTGCATTCCTCCCTGTTTCTCCTGCTACTTTCATATTTCATCTGTCAACCTCTCTCTTGTTTTATATTGCTTGTTCATCACCAATGTCAACATGTATCTGTCATCTAGGTCATGAATTATTCCCCACATCCCCAAGTAACCATCACAGAATGTTTTTATCAAGAAAATCTGTATTAACTTTTTACAACAGTTGTCTCATACAATATTTTTCTTTTGTGATTGACTAATTTCATTCAGCTTACTGTCCTCCAGGCTCATCTGTTTTGTGAGATATTTTGCAAATTCATTCATTTTCAGTGTTGCTTAGTATTCCCTTGTGTGTATGTGCTAAAGTTTGTTTAACTATTTACTTTGGAAGAACCTCCAGTTACAAGCTCTTCCTGTTGACTCCTCCCCCTTTTTAAATTCTGTGCCAAGCAATCCCCACCATTCAGCTTCTTTAGCATGTGTAGCAGAACCTTCCTTGCTGGCGGGTTATTCCTTCAGGTTTCCTCTCTGGTTCATAAGCTTTATACTCAACAAATCATACTTTGATTTGCATTTGCAAAGTTGAAAAAACCAGAAGACAACAAATGCAGGTGAGAGTGTGGAGAGACTGGGATCCTCCGCTACTATTGGTGGGACTGTAAAATTGAGCAACCAACTACTGTGGAAAAGGGTATGGTACTATCTCAAAGATTTGGAAATGGAAATACTATGTTGTTGTTAAGTTCCATCAAGTTGGTTCTGACCCATAGCAACCTTGTGTAGTGTTTCTGAGGAATGGCTGGTGAGCTTGAACCACCAATCTTGCAATTCAAACCGACTTTGCAGTCCAGTGCATTAACCCACAGCACCATACCAGCACTTCAGAAATACCACATGACCCAGCAATCCCTCTTATAAAATAAGAGCTGTGAAATGAATAGATATATGCACACCCATGTTCATTGCAGAACTAGTCACTATACCAAAAAGATGTTGTTGTTGTTGTTAAGTGCCATTGAGTCAGTTCCGACTCACAGCGACCTTGTATAGGGTTTCCAGCAAACCAGAGAAGAAATAATCGAAGAGCTGCTAGAGGGAAATTTCCCTAACATCTTGAAAGATGAGAAAGTAAGTATTCAAGAAGCTGAACAAACCCCAGGCAGGATATACCTCAAGAGAAAATCATCAAGATATATCATAACCAAACTTTTCAAAACCAAGACAAGGAAAGAATCCTGAAAGCAGCTAGGGAGAAAAAGAAGTGTTACCTACAAAGACAAGCCAGTAATATTAAGCGCTATCTCTTAGCAGAAAACATGCAGGTATGAAGGCAGTGGGGAGAGATATACAAAACTCTGAAAGAAAAAACTGCCAACCAAGAATCATATCCCCATCAAAGTCGTCAATCAAGTATGGCCATGAAATCAGAACATGCCAGGATAAATAGAAATTTTGTAAAAGCCAAGTCAGCACTTCAAAACATACTAGAGGTAGTTCTTTGGACTGAACCAACAAGAGCAGTCAACAACCAGAGATTGATATATGTGACAACACCACTCAGAACTCAGTCAAGAGATGGAAGAGTCCAGAGAAGAACAAAACTACAAGAATGAAATTAGGGGATCTGGAGGGTCAGTTTATGACTAGGACAACTACAGTGCAAAAGACGGGAAAGGTATAAACAGATCCAGGTGGTGAGGAGGTCAGGTAGATTTCAGGGTAAAGCAGACTGTTTAAAAGAAGGAAGAAATTAATAGACTAGAGTAATGTCAAAGATACTTAGTACTTCAAAACATATCAAGAAAAGGAAAATCCAAGAAGAACATTAAAACTATGAAGAAATTAACAGGAAAAAGCACATACTAAAAAATTATCACATCACAGGAAGGCATGCAGAACAAAGAAATCAGCAGCACTGAACAAAAACAAACAACTGTCAGTGGATTGAAAGTGCCAGTCAAGAGACAGAGAGTGGCAGAAGCGATAAGAAAATAGGATCCTACAATATGCTGTTACCAAGAGACATACCTTGTACACAAAGACAAAAATAGATTAAAAGTTAAAGGATGGAAAAAAACATGCCAAACTAATTGCAATAATAAATGAACAGGAGTGGCAATACTTATCTCTGATAAAATAAACTTTAAGGCAAAAACCAGTGTAAGATGAAGGATATTATCTCATGATGATTCAAGGATCAATTGAACAAGAAGACACAACCATAATAAATATCTATGCTCCCAATGAAAGATCCCAAAACTATATAAAGTAAACTCTAATAGAATTGAAGAAAGAAATAGACAAACTACAATAATAGTTGTTGTGGTGGTTATGTACCGTGGAGTCAGTGGTTATGTACTGTGGAGTCAGTTCCCACTCATAGTGACCCTGCACAGGATTTCCAAGGCTGTAAATCTTTACGGCAGCAGAATTCTTCATCTTTCTCCTACGGAACTGCTGGTAGTTTCGAACTGCTGACCTTTAGGTTAGCAGCCCGATTCATAACCACTACGCTACCAGAGCTCCTTATAATAATAGTTGTTGTTGTTGTTTTGTGCCGTGGAGTCGGTTCTGACTCATAGCGATCCTACACAGGGTAAATCTTTTCAGGGGCAGACCGCCTCATCTTTCTCCTGTGGAACCGCTGGTAGTTTCAAACTGCTTACCTTGCGGCTCACAGCCCAATTCGTAAGCACTTTGCTACCAGAGCTCCTTTATAATAATAGGAGGAGATTTTAATATACTGCTTTCAAAAAAGGACAGAACAACCGGAAAGAAACGCAACAAAGACACAGAAACTAAACATATTCAACCAACTTGACCTCATAGATATGTACTGAGTATTAAACCCAACAACAGCATGTTATTTTAAATCCACAATACACATTCTTTTCAAGTGCACATGGAACATTCTCCAGAATATACCATGTGTTAGCCCACAAAACAAGTCTCCATAAATTTAAAAACCTAAAATATTACAACACTATGAAGATCCAGGAAATAAAGTAAAATATATGGAAACTGAATAAATCCCTGCTTAAAAGTTGCTGGGTAGTAGAGCAAACAAAGGGGAAATAAAAAAAAAAAAAATCTTAGAAACAAATGAGAATGAAAATGCAATATTCCAAAACCTTTGGGACATAGCAAAAGCAGTGCTGAGAGAACAATATATAGCAATAAAGGTACACATTCAAAGAGAAGAAAGAACCAAAATCAATACATTAACATAACTGCTCCACCAATTAGAAAAAGACCAGCAAAGTAAACTTAGCAAAGTAAACTTATAGCCACCAGAAGAAAAGAAATAAAGATTAGAGCAGAAATAAATGAGATAGAAAACAGGAAAACTATAGAAAGAATCAACAGGAGAAGAAACTGGTCCTTTGAAAGTATTAATAAAATTGACAAACTAGTTGCAAATTTAACATAAGAAACAAAGGAGAAGACACAAATAACACGCGTAAAAAACCACATGGATGACATCACAACAGAACCAATGGAAATAAAAAGGATAATAACAGATATTATGAAGAGTTGTACTCCAACAAATTTGAACATCTAGATGAGATGGATCCATTTTTAGAAAAAGTGACCTACCTAAAGTTAATGCAGAATGAAGTAGAAAGCTTGAACATTCCTATAACAAAAGTAAAAAAATGATCAGGTCATCAAAAACCTCCCAATCAAAAAAGTCCAGGCCCAGATGCCTTCACTGGTGAAATTTGTCAAATATTCAGAGAACAGCTGTCACCAATTCTAATCATATGATTCCAGAAGCTAGAAAAGGATGGGAAACTTCCTGATACATTTTTTTAAAAAAAGTTTTTTATTAGATTGAGTGAAAGTTTACAGGGCAGATCATCTATTTTACATTCAACAAATCAAACCTTGTTTCATTACAATGATTATAATCCCCTCCATTTACCATCAGTTAACAGTATTTCTCTCTATTCTCTTTAGATATTTAGTCTGCCTGTCCCTCTCCATAATCCCTGTTCAGGCCTTTTTCCTAGTTCAGGGCTGGCTGTGGCCTTTTTGCATTGCCGTTTGGTTTTAAGTGGAAACTGTCACTTTAAATTTTGAGGAGATCTGTGTGCATGCGTAGTCGAACCCTCCAGGGGTGGGGGTAGGGTGTCCACTCGCTCAGGCACCCCCTCTAGTCACCAGAATGGAGGTACACAGACAGTGAGAGACCAATGAATAGCAACCAAAAAAAAAAAAGCCCACATCTTTATTTCCACGGTTCTATCAGATGTCCATGGCTGCTCTGACCCTTCCCCCACTTGGTCTCTCCCAAGATGGTGGCTCCGGGAGCAGCAGAGCATCTTGAATTAGAAAGCAATGGATTTCTTGCTTCTGCTACAACAAAGCGCTCAGGAATATTTAACCATTCAAACAACCAAAGGGTATACCCTGCACGCCAACCCCCTGGCCACCAGCACACAGTCCCTTTCCCTTCTTGAGTCTAGAGTCCCTAACTGCTGTGTCTTTCCACCTTATTTTCTCTGCCTCCATCTCTGGCATCGCTGCTTCTCTGGATAGGGTCCCACACTCTGTTCGTCTTCTTTGATAGTCCCAGGGTCCTCCGTGCCTGGACAGCAAGATCAACTGCTCCCCTCCTTTTGTTACAAAACATCTATCTTTACATTTGCAACATTCACAATCAGTCCTGATAGCAGTTATTCACTGTTGAACCACAAGAGTCTTATCCCCATCTCTTTCACCAGTGTCGTGTAGATAGGTTGGAAACCACTCAGTGGAGATTCTACCTTCCCCTACACCCTCTGAAACTAAGCTTCCTCTTGAAAATTTGTAAGTCAGTCACTTTGTGCCTTTGTAGTCCCCCACCCCATCTTGGGTTGTTGTTGTTGTTGTTATGTGCCGTGGAGTCGGAACCGACTCATAGCGACCCTGTACAGGGTTTCCGAGGGTGTAAATCTTTACGGGAGTAGAAAGCCTCATCTTTCTCCCGCGGAGCAGCTGGTAGTTTCGAACTGCTGACCTTGCGGTTCACAGCCCGAGTCGTAACCACTACGCTGGGTAGCCAATGTCTAAGTTTCCCATCCCTGTAAAACCTGTGTGCAGAGGGGGTGGGAATGATCCTTGCTGTAAAGATTTATTCCATCTTTTAAGCCACTATTATGTAGTCAAAATTTAAAATTTTTTTTCTTTTTATACATCTGGAATTTTAATCATAGTTAGAAAGTTTCCCCTACTCTCAAATTATATAAGAATTCATCTGTGTTTGCTTCCAGTCCTTGTATAATTTCATTGTAATTTCTGATCTATTTTGAGTTTTCTTGTATGTGGTGTAACATATGGATTAAATTTATCTTTCTCCAAATGACTCACCAGTTTTCTAGCACTGTTTATTTATACTGCTATATTTGCCACATTTATCATATGTTAAATTTTCTTGTTTACTGGAGCTATTTCTATACTTTTATTCTTTTACTTTGGTCGCTACACTGTTCTAATTATAAAGACATTAGAGTACGTATAATTTAATATGTTTTAGTGCATGTCCTCGTAGATTCTTTTTCTCTGGGTTTCCTTGATTAATTTCTCCATGTTTATTTTTCCATATGACCTTTAAGATAACTTGTTTAGTTCCACAAAAAATTTATTTAGATACTACAAAAAAATATTATTTGTTGGTTACCAGGGGTGGGAGGGAGGGTAAAATAAGGCACAAATTAGGGGTTAGTCACATCATCATAGCTCAAGTGAAGAGGAGGGCAATACACAAGGAGGAGAAGAGGGATGGAAGAGCAAGGTAGATAGGGGATCACTTAGGTAGGTTTGCCTGGGTCAAATGAGACAGAGGTAAATAGTAATGTATACTCAACCTTAGAAAAACAGGGTTCTGTGATACTGGGATCGAAGCATAGTCTGAATGGGTAAAAGAGGGGAAATAATGTTAAGGTGCTTGACTGTCTTGTGGTTATTGTTTTCCCTTGCCTAATATTATAAAATAGATATTTGAGTAGAATAGAAAGGAATATTGGGAAATATAATTACAGAAAGCTTGTAAGCCCATCTTCTGCCTATAACTGATTGGAATAACTAAAAGGAGTTCTAGAATTTACCCAATGAAATAGGTTTCTTGTAGAGCCATTGTAGCGTAGGGGCTTAGGTGGAATCCTTAGCCCCATACAGAACCTTCTGAGGTGGGACATTCCTACTTGAAAGGATATGTAGACCAACCTGGAGTAGCTAGAGGAACAGAAGATCTTCTTGAAAGAAAGATCAGCAGCTGGTTACAAGAACAGGCAAGCTGTTCGCCTGGGAGTCATCAAGGCAAACCATCAAGGCCCTTCAGGACAAACACCCTTCCAAGATTGAAACTCAAAGGGAACACAGGAACAGGCTTGTAAACTTACTGGTGACTACATTGGTCTACTTGTGAGTGGAAGTGGGGGAAAGGTAACAGTGAAGACATGAGTTGAGTTCGACCATGTTCCATAGACTCTTGTCAACCTTGAGATGAGAGAGAGAAGAGGAAGTGCTGGTTGGTCCTAAGTTTGGGAGACTTGGGAACTCCTGAGCCCATGGACACTGATCTAGCCATTGGTGGTTAGAGCTGAGAGTGTGGCATCCAGCTGATATGAAGTGAGGGGAGGCATGCAAGAGCACCCAAACTTGAAGATAGTATTTGACTTGGATGGCTTGATGATCAGAACTCGATTAGAGGAAGAAAAAGAAGTTTGATACAGAAAAGTAGTGTAAATTGCTAATAATTTGATGAACGTGACCTGTGCTTATGGATGTAGTTGCACAAAACACCAACTGTAAGGGAAGGAGTCTTCACTTCAAGAATCAATCCTATCCCCTCAGTCCACAGGGCTGAAAGAGGCAGGTAACTTAGACATTGGCTACCTAAAATGGGGGTGCTATAAAGGCATGAAGTGGCTGGCTTACAAGTCATAAAAAAATGTATGTAGATGTTTAAGCAATATTGTTGATAACATGTTAAATTGATAAAATATATATGCCCTAAAACTCATTAAACCCATTTGTGACAAGCTGAAATATTTATGGTGGTTAAATGTCCTTACCCAGATCCAGTATTGCCTCTCCATTTTTTTCAAATCTGTTAGTGTACTTCAAAAAGTTTGTGGAAAAATTTAATGAAAGGATAATGGAATTTTTTCTATGAACTTTTTGAAGTCCCCTTATACGATCCGTTTTGGAAAAAGTGAAGCCAGAGTGTTCCTTGGAGGCCAGATGGCCCAACTTCATCTCTCATACTTCAGACATATTGTTAGGAGGGACCAGTTGCTGGAGAAAGATATCTTGTTTGGTAAGGTTGAGGGTCAGAGAAAAAGAGGAAGACTCCCAACGAGATGGATTGGCTAAGTGGCAGCATCAGTGGACTCCTCAAGTGTGGCAACAGTAGTGAGGTTGGCTCAGGATTGGTGAGTGTTTCATTCTGCAGTGCATAAGGTCGCTATGAGTCGGTACTGACTCGGTGGCACCTAACAGCAACAACAACATACTTTTATTGGGCTACTAATTTTTATAAAATTATACTATATTGTAATTATGAATTTATATTATTATTTTGTAGGAATAGACTCCCCAAGAGAGTGGACTCTTTGTTTTGTTTACTGTACTACTGTATCCTCAGAACAATATCTGAATATTTATTGAATGATGGAATAAAGAATTAGATGACGTATATATTTATTTTGCCTTAAGAATTTCAAGAAAATACTAAGAATATTTGATGAGAACTTTTCATAAATAATGCAAAATATGAAATGGTTTCTTTGTAGGTCATATTTTTTGATAAATTCATAAAATTCTGAAAGCAGTTATTAGTGTTATTTGAGAAGATAGAGCTCATTTGTTACATTGGAATGCTTATATCATGTAGAATATTTCATTTTTTTCTCATTATGTTCCCAGTTAAACTATATGTATTTGAAGCGATGTGTAGAAAGTAGTCCTATAGTACCTATTCAGCAGAAATGGCTGGATAACATGTTAATGCTGATACCTGAGTCTTTAAAGGAAGGGAAAGACCGACAAGAACTTGTCGAAAGTCTCATAAGTGAGGTTTCAAGTGACTTTGAAAACAGCATGAAGCGATATTTGGGTAAGTAGCATTTAATATGGAGTTTTTGAGGGCACCAACCACCAACAGCATGTAACACATGACAGTTTTCTTTTACCTTTTGTTATGTATTGAACAAAAATGTGTGTTGTAAATCCTAGTGTAGCACTGTAGCCTAATTACTGGACTACAGGCAAAAAGGTTGGTAGTTAAAATACACCAACTGCTTCTTATAAACCCTGTAAAGGGTCTCTATGAGTCAGAACTGACGCTATGGCACTAACAGTAATAACATGTGTGTAGTTATAAGCCTATTTGTGAATATGTTTTCTTTGTTAGTAAGACTGGGTTCATATATGGTATATACTAAGTTAGTCTTTTTTTTGGTGTATAAAAGTTATTAAACAAGCAAACTAGGAAGAGAGATGGGTTAAAACAGATGCCAAGACACACGGAAATCTCCAAGGAACCAGAAAGTAGAAGCCAAAGAGACAAAGACCTTTCTCTGGTGCCAACACAGAGAAAAAGCTTTCCCCTAGAGCCAGAGTTCTGAATTTGAACTAATAATCTCTTAAACTATGAGAAAAATAATTCCTATTTGTAACAGCCATCCACTTGGGCTATTTATAACAGCTTGAGATAATAAGATACCTTCGCTATTTTTTCTCCCTGTTGATCAAAAGTAGAAATAAACACAATCAATAAGGAAGTAAATTAATACTATGTGTTGTTAGATATGATTTTTATTTTAAGATTTTCTCTTAAGCTGTAATCTAGTGATATGTTTTGTAATTTAAGGGCACTATTTATACTGTTGTATACTTATTAGTTTGTAGATTTTTTTATTTTTCTGATTTGTCTTTATAGTTGTAGCTATACAACTATATTTACAGGATTATAAAAAACAAAAAACAAAACAAAACTAGTGCACTAGGGAGATTTATTAGGGGTTTAACCTTTTCACTTTTTATTTGAATACATTTTCTTAGATATACTAGTGACCTTTGAGTACACATAATACTACAAACAGAACTTAATAAAGCTTTATTGTATTTGAATTCACCCCTAAAGTAAGTCAAATGTTTCCATGAGTTTAATTTCATTTCAAATAAAAGATTTTTTTCTTATATTCATTTGAATGTATAGTAAGCTATACCATCCAATATCAGAAGTCAGATCCTTTGATATAAATAAGCTTTCCAAGAATTTTCAGTAAGTATGTATTCATTTGTGTGTTTTAGTACGCAGTGTTCTTGTGAAACCTTCAGTTAAATGGCTTGAAGATGAAGCAGGTCCTTTGCCTGAATCCCCTATGTGAGTAAATGTTTTGAATATAGTATTTCATGTAATGTTTTTTTGTTTTTTTTAAAGCGGTGTTTTATTGCATTTTCTGCAAAAGTTTATGTACCAAAACCAGGTTTCTACTTGACACCTTCTATACAAACTGTTCAGTGACATTAATTACATTTGCCACAGTCTGACAGCATTCTCTTTAATTGAGTTCTGGTGGTTCTATTTTCAATATTTTCATCTCTGTATGGTGTTCTTTTTTGCTTTGAAGTCTCATATAGATATTTTTTTCTTTTCTTTTTTTTTTTACTGGAACACCATACTCCTGGGCAATATCTGCTATTTTGTGTACCAACCTGTTATTTTGCTCAAAGATGACTGCAGTGTACAGTTTGTGTTCAAGTTTAAAGCCCATCTCAGGATGGTAGTCTCAGGGAGATCTTGAGTTGCAACTGATAATAAAAGTCTGGAATTTTTAAGAATTTTTAAATTCTGTTCTGTGTTTCTCTTCCATTCTATGTTGAGAAAACTTACTAAAACCAAAATCTACACCCAACCCATAAAAGTCTCTTTACAAAAATAGAAGAGAAAGAAAAGTTTTATTCTTGAATAAGCATAAAACTGGACACGATATATTACAGTAACCTACTACAGAGATTGTGAAGATAGAAAGAAATCCTAACCATTGTAATGATAAGGGGGTACAATGATAACTCATATTTTAAAGATAATTAAAAATTTTCCATTCCTTCTGATCTGGAGATTGGGCTGCACTGAGTTCATGTTAATCTCCTTCCTGGAAAAAAATTACACTTACTCACTTTTTCAAAAGACAAAGAATTGACAAGTTCTCTAAAGTGAATTCTAAAGAAAGCAGTGGAGGAACTCCTTCACCTCTGCACTAGGGAGATTTACTCATTTATTTCCCATTTGTACTAGTCCTGACATCTATCAGGAGCTATGTATTGTGGCCCTAATTAGAACAGTAAGTAGTGGTAGCTGGGTCCCATCTAGTTCTAGATTTAGGGTAGATGAGGACATGGCTCATGTAGGCTATTAGTCTTGTAGATAGACTAGTTTCTTCTGTGAGATTTTGGTTTCCTGTTTTCTCTTTTTGTCCTGATGTGTAGAGACTAATAGTTATATCTTAGATGGCTGCAAACTTTTAGGCCTCCAGATGCTGTACACCTGCCTAGGATGAACATGAATTTAATGTGCTAACTGACTGGGTTGTTCCATGAAACTAAGGTCCTAAGCCTTCATGTAGTTTTTGGTAACAGACTGACAATAAACTGACCTTATGCTCAAGTGAAATACTGGGGAAGTCAAATGTGTTTTTAATATATCTGAAAAAAGCAGCTGCACGCTGGTCCCCAAAGGTATCCTCTATACTTTGCTGTTTACATAAGCAGGGGAACCTTTATGAATGTCTAGCTCTCCTTGGTCTTTAGTAAACCTTTGTATGGCAGACAGATTTCTCTAACACTTCTTCCAGTCCTAATGACTGCTTTCTTTAAGTTCAGCCCAGGATAACTGAGCCAGAACACTGTGGAAGCTAGCAAACAAGGACCTCACACCCGTCTCCATGTGCTGGTGTTACTCACAACTTATCATTGTTATCTGTTAGGAGAATGTGCTTTTGAGATCTTTATGTGTTTGTTTTTTAATTAACTATTTATCTCCCTTGGCTACCATTGCTGTCATCTTCCCCTCCTTTTAGTCCCCACTTTTCTCACTTTATTACATGTCATAAGCATTATATCTAAGCACTCAGAGTTTATTGTTTTATTCCTGTTTGACATAATATTTTGCTTTTTCAGAGGCCTGGATTATTCTAATCCATGGCGTTCTAACTACGTACAAGCTAGAAATCAAATGTTATCTAATTTGCATATTGTTCACCCAACCATGAAAATATTACTGGAACTTGGTTATTCAATGTTTGCCAATACAGTTTTGCTGGATTTAACAGGAATTAGGTAAAGACTCTATATTTATTAATTTTCATTTAGTATTTGAATGCTTCTGATTGAGACTTTATATTTTTGATGGTACAATTTAAAACATTTAGATTGATAAATTTTTAAAATATTTCTTTAGATTTTACAATAAAAAAATTGTCTTTTACTTGTTTCAGCAATTGTGTATAAAGACCAAAACTTACAATGTGCTCTGAGTCGTTTTTCTTTTCCTCATAATTAGAGCTAAAGGTCCAATTGATTGTGAATCAATGAAAAATGATCTATCAATACAAACTAAAAAGGCAGAAGAGAAGATAATGAATACATGGTATCCTAAGGTTATAAGTCTTTTTACTAAAAAGGAGGCATTAGAAGGCATTCACCCTGACAAAGTGGATGCTTTTTATAGCTGTGTTTCCACACTTATGTCAAATCAGGTAAATGAGTTTTATTTACCTTACAGTACAATATTATTAAAATTAGCTGAGTATTTTGAAATGCATTTAAAAATATTTTTACTAGAAGTTTAGCAGAATGTGTTATTATTATAATGGCTTATGCTAAAAGACTATATTTGCTATTTATAATTTTATTGGAATATGTCAGTGAAAGACTATTAACCATATGATTTAATTTATTATGAAATTCCAAGTTGATTGATTTTCATTTGTGCTCAGTAAATCTACAACTGGTTCATATCTTCATAGTCTTGGTTCAAAACATTATTGATCATCTTTAAATGGCAAACAGAAAGACAATTTTAAAATTATGCTATTATATTTGTTGTCTCCTTGAATATTTTACCATTATAGATATATAATTCTAGAAAAAGAGTTCTGAATAGAAACTTTCCCATTTGGTAAATAATGCTGTGAGGTGTGGAACCACTTTGCAGTATACAAGTTAGCCTTTGGTCCTGGTTCCTGCAGAATAAACCACACCTAAGGCTAATGAGTACGAGTTAACCAGATCAAGAGGGACCATCGGGGGTCTAAATCTAAGAAGTGATCTTATCATCACCATATATTGAAACCAGTTAAGGCCTTGGTCTCAGTGGTGCTTCATGGGTGATAAGAGTGAACATCTGCACTTGGAAGAATAATTGGATCCCTTGAGGACATGAAAATTCTGCACTGAGACCCCTATGTGTATGTATACCTATTCCTGCTAGATTAAAGATAGTCCTTTCCCTGGATTTTGTGAGTCATTCCAATGGATTATTGGACCTGGGTGAATGGCAGTGGAAGGGCTGTGTGTAACAGCAGGGCTCTGAACTGACCAGGGAAAGGAAGCTGAGATTTCCACAAGATGCAGTTAGCATATAGAGTGGGATTTATTATTCACCCCACATTTGGTGTCAGAAGTGAGTGGTCTCAGCCTCCTTGGACTAGTTTGGTAAAATTAGTGATAAGGATGGGAGTCATTTGAGTGGTCTTGATTTCTCAAGTTCCAGAGAGACACTGAATTTTGCAATGCACATTAAAAAGGAGACTATACCTATGTATGTATGTGTTGGAGTCCTTGTTTGGCAATGTGGGTTAGTGCGCTGGACTGCCAAGTCAGTTTGAATCACAAGATTGACGGTTCAAGTTCGCCAGTAGCTCCTTGGAAACCTTATACAGGGTTGCTATGGGTTAGAATCGACTTGTCAGCATGTAACAACAACACCATGTATGTATTAAATATCTAGTATGTAACATTATAAGTATATTTGGTTTTCCTTCTAAGAGAACTATGATCATTTGATAAGAAGTAAAAAGACAAAAAGTAATATTTATATTTGTCTGCTCATTTAAATTTCTAGTAGCTGGTCCTGTATACAATACATTATTCATACTTAGTAACTCATTGTACATATTTCAGATTCTAGTGGATTCACCATCACATAATGATGGCTAGAAAACGGACTCTCCAGAATTAAAAAAATAAAAAACCTTGATATTCCCACCATGGTGGATTTCAAGCTTCTAAGAGTTTAATGATTGGTTCTCAAAGTTCTTGAATATTTAACAATTGTTTCTTGTAACACAAGGACCAACCTCCTGACTCTGCTTCCCCTAACTCTGTGTCTCAGGTGTCAGACCTATACCACTTTAGTCTTTACCATGTTGTCTGGTCTTCTGCAACATTTTCTGTGCCCAAGGACAGAATTACTAATGAATATATAAAATTCTGAGTTGTCATTTTAAGATTGTTGATGACCTATAGAAAATTAAAGTTTTAATGTAATCTTATATTTGCTGTTCTATTCATATGCATTATTCTATTCTCTGATTAGGAATTTATTTTGCTAAATGAAAATAATTTTCAGGACTAAACTGGTTGATGAGATGATTTGATTACAGACACTAGTTCATTAGTTAGAGGTTGGATTTGGAATATCCAAAATAACTAAAATTTCTGAAATCATACAGTTAAAGGATCTCTTAAGGAGAACCGTAGAAGGATTTGTAAAACTCTTTGACCCAAAAGACCAAAAAGGATTGCCAATATTTAAGATGGAATTGACTTTTGATGATGAGAAAATGGAATTTTATCCTACCTTTCAAGATTTGGAAGATGTTATTTTGGGTTTAGTAGAACGAATAGCAGAAGCTCTGCAGGTATGTATCATATTTTCCCATTGGTTTTTAAAATATGGGTCTTTTTCAAAATTTAAAATCATTTGAATTTCATACTTTTAAGTGTCTAAAAAGTGTATTTAAGTAACTAAAATGTTATAACCCTTAGTTTTGTTCTCTCCTCCGGTTTATTTTAAGTTAGAAAGCATCTTTCAGTATCCTGACTGGAGATTATATTTGACTTCTTAGGAATTTTACTGTAATTGTGAATTGATATTTTTGTGCATATCTCATCTCTCCTTCTGGGTAGTGAGCTACTTGAGGACAAGCTCCAAGTCATGTTTGTTCTTTTTAGTGTTTCTTTAGTATAATCACTTTTGTATTGTAGGCACTGGATTAATTAATTAATGTTGTAGGTACCGTTGATGGTAAAATAACTCAGCTTAAGTTTTATGTATTAAACTATAAACTACATAACTCAAAATCATTGTTTTGCATCAACTTATCTTTTCTGGGGCAATGAAATCTGAAATTAATGTTTTAAAAATATAGTAGAATATCTTTATTTAGACCAACTGCACAGATACTTACTTCATAAATTGTCACTTTTATTTACATTAGAATATCCAGACGGTACCTTCTTGGCTAGCAGGAGCTTCAACTCCTGCAACACTTGACACAGAACTTCCTGAACACGTGATACATTGGGCTGTTGATAAGCTGAAGGTGGCAGTGCGTCAGAACTTAGAAGGTCCAAGACAACATTATGAGTCATATGGTATATATGATTTTTTTTTCAGCTATAAAAAAGTGGCTTTTTATTTTTATTAGAATTTGGTCAGATGTTTGGCTGTTTAGGGCTGCTATGAAAAAGCAGGGAAAAACAGAAATGAGCATACATCTGGATTCTGGCAGAGTTGAGAATCAAAACTAAAAAAAAATTCAATTATTTTGTTAGATCCAAAGGCTGAAAATTAAAAAGGAGCAACATGATAAAGCAAAGAGTAAAAGGGAGAGATATATGGATAAAGAGGTAGCTAAATCAAGGGTAAAAGCAAGGTAATTTCTCAAAATAGCTTTGAAAAACCTGAAATTCTGTTAGTTCATAAAGTCATCAAAGGCACCCCAATAGTGCAGTGTGTTAAACATTGGACTACTAACAGTAAAATCTGTGGTTCAAACCCATAAGCTGCTTTAAGTCAGAAGATGAGATGCTCTACTCCTGTAAAGATTTATAATCTCTGAAATGGAATTGACTTGACTGTAGTAAGTTTGCTTTTTGGTTTTGAATAGTCTCTTCAAATGTGTGTGGGATCAGAATAGATTAGTTATTATTTGGTATCCTGTTAACCCCAGGACCTTTTTATTAACTGATATAGTTGTGTCTTTTCTGATCCATACTCGTCTACTACCTTTATTTTAAAAGTCTGTGTTCAACCTGGTTTGCTTGTTAAATGTTTGTTTTTATCCTTTGAAATAAAGTAATCTATGTGTTAGTACTTTATTACTAATATTTAGTGACTGGGCTACCTCATTCCATGACTACGTAAAAGTAGCCACTTTACGGTTTTGAAAAGATATTATTGACATATTAATTATATTATTAATTTTTAGTTCAAAAATATAATTGGCTCCTTGATGGGATCGCTAATGAAATGGTAGAAGCTTTTCAGGCAGAAGATCATACTTTTGATGAATACACACAGGTAAATATGAATCTGGTTAAAAAATTTTCCACTGTGGTAAATATATATGTAACAAAATGTTTGCCACTTCAACATTCTTCATGCATGAGATTCAGTGACATTAATTGTGTTTATCATGTAATTCAACCATCACCATTATCTATTTCCAGAGTTTTGTTTTTTAATCGCCCATTACAGAAGCTCAGTGTCACCTAAGCAATGAGTCCCATTTTCCCTTTCCTACCACCTACCCTGGTAACCACTAGCCAACTTTGGTCTCTATGCACTTGTCTACTCTAGATATTTCATATAAATGGAATCATACAATACTTTTCCTTTTGTGACTAACTTTTTTTTTTTTTTTTAAGAGTTTTTGAAAGCTCTGAGTTTTGTTTTGTTTTTTTAATTTAAGATTTTTATTGTGGATTGAGTGACAATTTACAGGGCATATTATCAGTTTTACATTCCACAAATCATACACCTTGTTTCATTACAATGATTATAATCCCCTCCATGTACCCTCAGTTAACAGTATTTCTCTCTATCCACTTTAGCTTTTTGAAAACAAACAAACAAACAAAACCACTTAGGCATATATAATAATTTATGTCTCCAAAGGGCACATTCTGCAAGTCTGCCTCCTGGCCACCAGCTCTTAGTCCCTCTCTTCTTAGTCCGTGAATCTATAGTCCTCAGCCCCTCCCATCTCCATGCCCCCATCTCTGCCTCCATCTCTGGCACTGCTGCTTCTCGGGATAAATGTTCTTATCCTGCTTGTGTGCTTCTCTCTTGATGGTCCTAGGGTCCTCTGTTTCTGGACTGTAAGATTAACCACTCCCCTGTTTTTGTTACAAAACTTCTACCTTTACAGTTGTGACAGTCGCAATTAGTCATGATAACAATTATTCACTATTGAATCTTACAAATCTTATCCCCATCTCTTTTCACCAGACCCATCTAGACGAGATGACAACTATTCAATGGGACTCTTTCTTACCCCCCATACTCTTAAACTAAACTCCCTCTTGAAATTTTGTTAGCCAATCACTTTGTGCCTTTATTTCCCCCTCATTTTAGGTAGCCAATGTCTTAGTTGCCAGTCCCTATCTACCCTGTGTACAGAGGGGATAGTGTTGATACTTGGTGTGAAGACTCTTTCCCTCTCTGTTGGTATTTAGAGTAACTACCACTTTGAGTAAGGAGCTCTGGTAGTGTAGTGGTTACGAATTGGGCTGCAAACCGCAAGGTCAGCAGTTCGAAACTACCAGCTGTTCCGCGTGAGAAAGATTAGGCTTTCTGCTCCCGTAAAGATTTACAGCCTTGGAAACCCTGTACAGGGTTGCTATGTGTCGGAACCGACTTCACGGTACATAACCACCACCACCTCCGCTCTGAATATAGGTCAGGTTCATCAGATTGAAGCAATTTACCCTTCTTTCCTTTATCCAAAAAATAAATAAAGAAAAAATTTTTAAATTCAAACTTCCTCTAGTCAAGTTCTGATTATTGAGACATAGAGACTAGGTCAAAAGGGTACTATAAACAAGTTTGGGTGTTCTTGTGCATCTCCCCTCACTTCATATCAGTTGGATGCTTCACTCTCAGCTCTAGCCCTCTGTGGCTAAGTCCTTGTCCATGGCCTCAAGTGTCATCAGGTGTCACCATACTTTGGACCAACCAGCCCTTCCTCTTATCTCTTTCATCTCCAGGTCAATGGGATTCAATGGACTGGGGTTGAACTCAGCCCATTTCTTCATTGATGCCTTTCTACCTCTTCCACTCACCAGTAGACCAGTGTGGTCGCCAGCAAGCCTACATGCCTGCTCATGTGTTCCCTTTGAGTTTCAGTCTTAGAGGGAAGTTTGTCCTGAAGGCACTTGATTGCTAGCCTTGATGTCTTTCTGGTGAACAGCTTGCTTATTCTAGTAGTAGCCAGCCATGCTGCCATTTTTGTTTTGGGTTTTTCCTGATGATCTTTCTTTGAAGATGTATCTTCTGTCACTGTAGCTGTTCTAGTGTGCTTGTCCTTTTTAGTGGGAATGTCCTACCTCATAAGGTTCTGGATGGGACTCAGGATTCCACCCTAGTCCATATTCTGTGAAGGCTTTGCATGAGGCCTATTTCACTGGGCAGGTTGTAGAACCCCTTTTAGGTATTCCAATCAATTATAGGCTGAAGGCGGGCTTACAGTTTTCTCTAATCATGTTTCCCAACATTCCTTTCTATCCCACTCAAGTGTCTATTTTACTATAGTAGGCAAGGGAAACTAATATTCATAAGGCAGTCAAGGATTTTAGTATTATTTACCCTCTTCAAGCAATACCTAGATCCCTGCATCCCAGAGCCCTATTGTTCCAAGGTTGAATATGCATCACGATTTACTTCTGTCTCACTAGGCCATGCAAACCTGTCTCAGTGTTCCCTTATCTATCATGTTCTTCTGCCTCCTCCCCCCTTCTTGTATTGTCCTCCCCAACACCCAAACTAAACCCCCCACCCCAACCCCATTGTGGTTATCTTATATTCTATTAGTTCTATCCTCTATTGAAGACCGTCTATTTTATCCTGTAATCTACCTGACCTTCCCACCACCTGAATCTCTTTTCATCTGTGTTTACCTTCTTTCACATTGTAATTGTTTTGGTGATAGACTGACCTCCCAGATCCTCTGTTCTTATAATTTTATTCTGTTCTTGACTCTTCCATTTGTCGACTGAGGTCAGGGTGATGCTGCCATATACGTCATTCTGTAGTTGTTTTGTGTTCTTGTTGGTTCTCAGTCCACAGAACTTCCTTTAGGATATTTTTCATAGCAGGGTTGGCTTTGGCAAAATCCCTTAGCTTCTGTTTATCCTGTGGCCTTTTGGTTTTAAGTGGAAACTGTCTCTTTAAATTTCGAGGAGATCTGTGTGCATGCCTAGTAGAACCCTCCGAAGGTGGGGCTGGGGTGTCCACTAGCTCAGGCACCCCTATAGTCACCAGACTGGAGGTGCGCAGACAGCAAGGGACCAATGAACAGAGACCAAAAGAAAAGAATGCCCACACCTTTATCTCCATGGTTCTGTCAGGCATCCGTGGCTGCTCTGATCTTTCCCCGACTTGGTCTCACCCAAGATGGCGGCCCCTGGAGCAGCTGAGTGTTTTGAATTAGAAAGTAATGGATTTCTTGCTTCTGCTACAAATTCCCCTAGCTGTAAGCCTTCCAATCTTCTAAATATTCTTTTATATGTGGTTCAGAGCTCTGGGACCATCCCCTGAGCCTACTTGGTCCTGTATTCTGTGTTGTTGCTGACGGAGCTCCTTTAGTACACTTCCACCCGATCTGCCATCTTGTTTGTTCTTTCGTGACTTACTTTTTTATTCTGAGTACTTTAAAAAAAAATGTTTTATTGTGAATTATGTGATAGTTTACATGGGAGAACATTAGCTTTACATTCATCCTGTTGTATATCGTTTCATTGCCATGGTTACAGTCCCCTTCATGCATCATCAACCAACCAAAGGGTATACCTTGCAAGCCTGCCCCCTGGTCATCAGCATACAGCCCCTCTCCCTCTCTGGGTCTAGAGTCCCCAGCCGCTCCATCTCTCCACGCCATTTTTACTTTTTCCATCTCTGGAATCACTGCTTCTCTCGGTAGGGTCCTGCACTCTGCTCTTCTCCCTTGATGGTCCCAGTGACCTCTGCTTCTAGACTGCAAAGTATTCACAGTACTTTTAACCATGGAATTCGTATACTCTGATCTGAGGTTTTGGAAAGATAATTCTGGCAGCAGTGTTGGGGGGTGGGCGGGGAAAGCAATTGAATGGGAAAAGAATACTACCTCCTCATGAACCTTGTTTTTAATCTTGGTTAAAACTAGGTTTCTGTTTCTTTATCTTATGTCTTTCTGTGATGGTGATGGTGATTATGTGCTGTGGAATCAGTTCCAATACATAGTGACCTTGTATAGGGTTTCTAAGACTGTAAATTTTTATGGTAGCAGTAAGCCTCATCTTTCTCCAGAGAAACAGTTGGTAGATTGCAACACCTGACTTTGCAGTTAGCAGCCCAACTCGTATTTTTAATGCACAATTTGTTATTTTATTATTCTACCATTTTATTAAAAAAAGTTTAAACACACAGAGAAACTGAAAGGATTTTACAAAACACACCACCTAGATCTAACATCTTACTGTATTTGCTTAATTGCATATTTATCCCTTAATTCATCCCTCTATTCATCCATTGTTGTTGTTGTTAAATGCTGTTGAGTTGGTTTCAACTCATAGTGACTCTAGATAGGGTTTCTGAGGAGCAGATGGTGGGTTTGAATTGCCGACCTTGTGGTTCACAGTTCACTTCTGATCTTGCAGTGCCACACCAGAAATCCATTCATTTATTTTAATCACTAACTCATTTCCAGAATAACTGACTTTAAAACACCACTTTACTAAGTTTTAGTTTACATTGTAGTTAAATGAGTTTTGACAAATTTATCTACTCATGTTACCATCACCATAGTCAAGATAAAGAACCATCTTATCAGCTATGAAAGTTTCTCTGTGCCACATTCCAGTCAGTTTTCCCCAGCTCATGCAACCACTGACTTGCTTTCTGTTCATATATATTAGTTTTCTTTTCCAGAATTTCATAAAAATTGAAACTCTTGGGTCTGATTTATTTCATTAGTATAACATTAAAAATTTTTAATTTATGTCACATGCATCAATGGAACGGTAATTAAAATGCTCAAGTGCTAACCAAAAAGGTCTGTCCTTCTAACCCATGAGCTGCTCAGTGGGAAAAAGATGTGGCAGTGTGCTTCCATAAATATTTACAGCCTTGGAAAACCTACAGGACAGTTCCACTCTGTTTTAAGGGTCACTAAAAGATTGAAGTTGTCAAGGACTTTATTCTTCTTGGATCAACTATCAACACTCATGGTAGCAGCAGTCAAGAAATCAAGTGATGTATTGCATTAAGCAAATCTGCTGCACAAGACCTTTTTAAAGTTTTGAACTGCAAAGATGTCAGCTTGAAGACTAAGGTGCACCTCACCCAAGCCATGGTATTTTCAATAACCTCATATGCATGTGAAAGTTGGACAGTAAATTAGGAAGACTATGGAAGAATTGATGCATAACAGAACAAAACACTACCTGATTTTGTGCCAATTTCACAATCAATACTGTGCTTTAGTCCATTGCCAACCTATCTTGTGGCTTTTCCTTTTCTTTGCTGACCCTTCACTTGACCAAGTATGGGGTCCTTTTCCAGGGACTGGTCCCTACTGATAATATATCCAAAATATGAGAGATGAAGTCTCACCTTCCAGGCTTCTAAGAAGCATTCTGACTACTTCTTCACATATAGATTTGTTAGTTTGTTTGTTTGGCAGTCCATGGTACTTTCAGTATTCTCCTCCAATACCATAGTTCAAATGCATCAATTCTTTTATGGTCTTCTTTATTCATTGTCCAACTTTCACATGCACATGAGGTTTTTGAAAATATCATGACGGGTCAGGTGCATTTTAGTCCTTAAACTGGCATCTTTGCTTTTCAACACTTTAAAGGTCTTGTGCAAGAAATTTGCCAAATGCAGTACGTTGTTTGATTTCTTAACTGCTGCTTCCATTTGTATTGATGGTTGATCCAAGCAAAATATAGTCTTTGACAACTTCAATCTTTTCTCCATTTATTTTGATGCTATTTATTGGTCCAGTGGTGAGGATTTTTGTTTTCTTTATATTGAAGTGCAACCCATACTGAAAGCTGTGTTCTTTGATCTTCATCAGTTAGTATTTGCAGTCCTCTTTACACTTCCAGCAAGCGAGGTTATATCATTTGCATATTATAGATCGTTAATTACTTTTCCTCCAAATGTGATGGCATGTTCTTCTTCGTATATTCCAGCTTCTCATATTATATGTTCAGCATACAGATTGTATAAGTAGGGTGAAAAAATACAACCCTGGTGCACACTTTTCTTAGTTTTAAACCTTTCAGTGTTGTTCCTTTGTTCTGTTCAAATGACTGCTTCTCGGTCCTATGTACAGGTTCCTCCTGAGCACAATTAAGTGTTCCAAAATACGCATTCTCTGCAGTGTTGTCCATAGCTTTTCATGATCCACATAATTGAAAGCCTTTGTGTAGTCAATAAAGTACAGGTAAATATCTTTCTGGTATTTTCTGCTTTCAGCCAAGATTCATCTTATATTAGCAGTGATATCCCTTGTTCCACATCACCTTCTGAATCCAGCTTTTACTTGCATGTGATATTAATGATATTGTCAGATGATTTCTGCATTCTGTTAAGTCACTGCTCTTTGGAATTGGCACAAATATGAATCTCTTCGTATCAGTTGGCCATATAGCTGCCTCCCAAATTTCTTGGCGTAGATAAATAAGTACTTCCAATGCTGCATTGGTTTGTTGAAAGATTTCAATTTGTAGTGCATGAATTCCTAGAAACTTATTCTTTGCTTATAGGTCCTGGGTCTCACCACACTTTGGACCAATCAGCCCTTCCTCTTCTCTCTCATTTCCAGGTTAATGGGAGTTTATGGACCGTGGTTGAACTCAGCCCATTTCTTCATTGCTATCTATCTCCCTCTTCCACTCACCAGTAGACCAATGTGGTCATTAGCAAGCTTACATGTCTGCTCATGTGTTCCCTTTGAGTTTCTGCCTTAGAGGAGGGTTTGTCCTGAAGGACCTGATTGCTTGCCTTGATGGCTTCCCGGTGAACAGTTTGCTTATTCTTGTAGTAGCTTTTTTTGGGGGGGGGATGGGGGTTTGTGGATGATATTTCTTTGAAGATGTATCTTCTGTTGTTTTAGCCATTCCAGGCTTCTAATACAGTCTTGGAATGAATTGTTTGCTATGAAGATTTTAATCCCAATCCACCAAATATTAAAGACTTGGAAAAAAACAAGTGACCTTGTGCTCATACAGGGAAATGAAAGTAAGGTCTTGGAAGAATGAAGAATATGGAAGAATGAAAGGAATGGAACATTTTGGTGGAGGGTGTAAACAGGGTAGAGAGAGAAAGGTAGACAGAGGCAATATTAAAGGTATATTGTACAATGAAGCCACAGTTGCTCAAAGTAGGTAGGTACGTTTCATTTTCACAAAACGCAGAACATTTTGTCACATTTTTTTTCAGGCTATTTTAAAGATCACCTTACTGTCTAACTCTTTGGTTATGGAACAACACACTTTGTTTCTCTCCTTCTGAATGACTTTGACCCAAACCACAAGGTTCTTTACACTATTTTCCTGAAGATTGAATTAGAATCCTTTGTGAGGCATCAATAATGACACAATCAAATATTTGTCAGGAATACAATTTGTCACATGATATAGATTTGTTCCTAAACAGAAAGAAATGAGTTAACTTTAGGGATAGTTCATTGTTACTCTTGGGGGAAATTTCATTTCTTGAAATCTTCAGAGTTTAGTGCTATAATGGTACTTAATTAGAGATTTACTGACAATTTGGGAAATTCCTTATTGAAAGGTTAAATTGGGGAAAAAAGACTAAGTATCAAAAGGAAAATTTTTGGTAACTTGACAAAAAGAAACAGTTTTGCATATTATACTCTTAAGAATTTTACCATAACAAAGTACTATAAAATAGCCAATGAATTAAAAAATTCTAAGTATATTTAAAATTTTTTAATGTGTTTCATTTGTTTCTTTAAGTTTATAGGAACATTTTTAAATCTTGCCTCAGAAATGATGCTTTTGCCACAGTGGGTTCATTTTCCTATGGTGCGTTTGGATTGTGATGATTTAAAGACAGGTCTGATAAATAAAGCAAAAGCCTTTGCCAACATACTGTTAAATGATATAGCTTCAAAACATAGAAAAGAAAACGAAAGGTAAGTAGAATGAACTGCCACATTCAGAATTATAGGACTAAAAATATTTTGCTTATAATAACTTTTGTTTAAGAAAACCAGATTAAAATATTATACTTGAAAACTTTTCTTCCATCTTTACTTACTCAGGAAATAATCTTGCAGTCCCTGTGGGGTGGGATTTTTTTGTTTTGATACTGTTTAAGACTAATTTTAAGGAAAGCCAAGATTTAAAAAGAAAGAAAGGGAAGTTATGCAGGTTGCATGATAATGGGAAGACCAGAGACTTTCTGTGATATTGGGAAGATCTGGGATGATTCCAGATGCCAGTATTTATTTGTTGTGGGGCTTAGTTTTGTTTTGTTTTTTCATCATCTGCAAAATGGAGACAGTAATACCCGCTTTGTAGGATATTATAATTTAATTCATGAGCTGCTCACCACTAGATGAGTATGTTGTATAGATGTGCTTATTTGTCCCATACTACGTTTTGTTTTGTTTGAATACATTTTGAATTTATTTTCAAAATTTAAAAACTGGGAGATTTCACACACACACACATGCGCAGCTACACACACACACACAAATCTGAAGTTCTTAATTTTCTTGAAAGAACATGAGGGCTTACATTGGGTCCATATTGGGTCTTCAACAATAAGTGGAGCCAATTAGCAGCTTCTTCCTTTAGACAAAAGATCATCCAGTGCTTAATCAATTCACTGTCCAAACTCATCTTACTTATTTGTTACCTGTCTGACCTTCTAAAGGAAGCTGAGTTTTCAACTTCTGTAAGGATTAAAAGTAATATATAGGGTCCTGGTGTGAATAAGCACTGTTGTGGACAGCTAGCCTCAAGATTGGTAGTTCAAACCCATAAGCTACTCCTCATAAACCCGATACTGGGTCGCTTCGAGTTGAAACTGACTTGACGGCGCTTAGCAACAACATGTGTAGCACCTAGTACAGTGCCTGGAATGTGATACTAAATAAATATAGCTATTATGTTTGTTTTCCCAGAAGCAATGGAAGAAAATATGTGCTTTCAAATGAAAGAGACCTGAATTTGAATCCTGACTCTCTCATTAACTAGTTCCATGACCTTGTGAAAGTTACTTAATTTCCCCCAGTTACCTGATAAACCAATTGTAAAAAATAGTAACTCTGTGTCAGGACTAATATCAGAATCACAAATAAGCATTTGTAATGCATCTAGCTCCATGCCTGGTATAGAATAGGTGCTCAGTAAAGGAGCTATAATTTCATTAAGTGTTTTCTAAATGACTAAACAAAATCTATGACTGTCAGAAGGTATATATCAGGCATCCTTTATATAAATGCATGATATGATATCAAAGATAGTGAATTATCAGATACGATTTTTTTGAGGGTTTAACTGTCAGTGCTGCATTGGTAATGATGTTGATGTTGTTGTTAAGTGCTGTCTAATTGATTCAGACTCATAGCAACCTTTGTATTGTTCCCAAGGAGCAGCTGGCGGGGTCAAACCTCCAACCTTGCAGCTAATAGTCCAGTGGTTTCTTACAACACCACACCAGGAATCCCTGATAATGAATGGTGGTGGTGGAGGTGATGAACCATGGAGTTGGCTCTGACTCATTGCAACCCTGCATAGGATTTCTGAGGCTGTAAGTCTTTATGGAAGCAGAAAGCCTCATGTTTCTCCTGCAGAATGGTTGATAAGGTTTGAACTGCTGACCTTGAGGTTAGCAGCCCAACTTCTAACCACTACGTTACCAGAGCTCCTTATGGTAATGATAGTTAATTCAAAAATGATTTATATTAATATGACATGGGTTTAAAAATATATATCTATTTTTGAAGTATCTGATTTTTCGGGAAATTATTATTACTTCGAAGCCCATAATATCAAAGTAGCTGGAAAGTTGCCCGTTCCACCTTTTTTACACTTTAATTTTTTCATGTTTAAATTTCGTTTTTGAGGTGAGTAGCATCAAAAGGAAGAAATGTGTACCACTAGGCTAAGTACAAGATTATCGAAGAGCAGTACTCTTACTTTACAGTTTGGTTTAGCATTTGCCTAGGTCACCTTGTTCTCATTTTGTTTCCTGTTTCTTGTTGTTCTGTTTCTCCCCTAAGAAATCAGATTCTGTTCCATCAAGGAAAAAGCACTCCTACAAGGACCACATGTCTTTGCATTATCTACATAATGCATCCTCCTTATGTTTTTCCTTTTTTCAATATAAGTTTTTATTATGAATTGAGTGATAGTTTACATGGGAGAGCATCAGCTTCAGATTCATCCTATCGTATTTCGTTTCATTGCAATGATTAACAGTCCCCTCCATGCACCATCATTCAACAGCATTTGCTTCCTCTATTTGTTTGTTTGGTTTTTTTTTTGTTTTTTTTTTTTATATACACCAAAGCACTCAGCAATATATAACCATTCAAGCAACCAAAGGGTACACCCTGTACGCCAGCCCCCTGGCCACCAGAACACAGCCTCTCTCCCTCCTTGAGTCTAGAGTCCCTAGATGCTCCATCTTTCCCTGTCATCGTCTCTGCCTCCATGTCTGGCGTCATTGCTTCTCTGGATAGGGTCCCGCACTTCTGCTCTTCTCCCTTGATGATCCCAGGATCCTCCACTCCTGAGCTACAAGATAACTGCCCCCTTCCTTTTGTTACAAAACATCTTATCTTTACATTTGCAACATGCACAAAAAGTCCTGATAGCGGTTAGTCACTATTGAACCATGAGAGTCTTATCCCTATCTCCTTTCACCAGTTCCATCTAGACAGGTTGGAAGCCACTCACTGGAGATTCTACCTTCCTCCGCACCCTCTGAAACTAAGTTCCCTCTTGAAAACTTGTAAGCCAGTCACTTCATGCCTTTGTTGCCCCCTCCTCCCATTTTAGGTAGCCAGTGTCTAAGTTGCATATCTTTGTCAACTCTATGTACCAAGAGGGTGGGAACGATCCTTGCTATAAAGATTCGTCCCCTCTTTTAAGCTACTGTATCCATAAGTATAGGTCAAGTTCATCCTATGTTTTGATAATCAAGAATTCACTATAAAACCCTACATGATCTAACTCCTGCTTACCTCTCCAACTTCATTTTATGTCCTTTCCCTTGTCTTCATATGGCTGCATTGCCTTTCCTAGAACTTACTATTACTTGTTGCTACCTTTTGCTGTTTTGTTTGTTTGTTTTTCTTTCATAGGATGTTCCTTTCCTGATGTTTCCTTGACTCCTTTTTTCCTTTTCTCACTTTTAATTATCACCTCCCCAGAGAGACATTACCTGGTTACTTCCTTTATATAAAATAATGACCCTTTCTTCATATCCTATCATTCTTTATTCCTTTATCTAGCTTTGTTTTTCTTCATAGCACTTACTACTTAGTCCTGTATTGTTTATCTGTGTTTTTCTGTCTCTCCTACACTTGTGTATGAACTGCAGTAAGTTGGTCTTATTTGCTGTGGTATCTCCATTGAATAGAGCTCAACTATTTATTAAATAAATGAATAAGTATAATTATTGACATAATATAAATGAAATTCCTGCATGAACTATATTTTGTTTTTAAATGACTTACCTCAGTTCTCCCTTGATTTTGCATAGGATTTTCTGATATTTTTGGTGATAGAATGGCATTAGAGATATTGCAAAGCTTAGGAAAATTTTCTATGAAATATACCTTTAGTTGAATAATGAATGGCTATAAGTTATGTGTCTAGGTTTATACTTACATGCATAGGATATTCTAAGAGAATGGTAGATTCAAAAAAATACCAAGAAGGGTTTGATCTTTTCACTTATATAGTCATTTTTCATAAGAGGCAGTAATAATAATAATAATAAATACTAACTGAGCTAATGATTATATTAGTAATTATGTTGTTGTTGCTGATTGCAATCGAGTTTGTTCTGACTTATAGTGACCCTGTTTAGGGTTTCCAAGGAGTGGCTGGTGAGATTGAACTGCTGACTATGTGATTAGTAGCTCGGTTCTTGTATACTGCACCATTGTTGTTGTTAAGTGCCGTTGAGTTGGTTCCAACTCATAGTGACCTGGAATAGGGTTTCCAGGGAGCACTATGTTGTTGTTGGTAAGTGCCATTGGGTTGATTCCAACTCATAGCAAGTCTGTTATAGGGTTTCCAAGGAACAACTGGTGAGCTTAAAATGCTGACCTTGTGGTTCAAACTGATCTTGCAGTTCAAAGCATTAACCTGCAACATGACACCATGACTCCAAGGAGCACTATGGTTACTAGTAAATAAGAACATGCTATGTGCAAGGCTCTGTACTTTCATTATTACATTGCAACAATCCAGCAATATAAATGTTAATGGCTTCATTTTACAAATGAAGAAACTGGACTTCAGAGTTTTGCCTAAGCTAAGCAAAGCTGCAGCAGGATTTAGATTTATGGCTGCCTGATCCAAAGTATACGGAGACCTGGTGGTGCAGTGGGTTAGGCACTCAGCTGCTAACCAGAAGATCGTGGTTTGGACCTACAAGTCATTCCTTGGAAGAAATATGTGGCAGTCTGCTTTTGTAAAGATTTACAACCTTGGAAATCCAATGGGTAGTTTTAGTCTGGATCATTCTGAGTCCGAATCAACTTGACAGCAGTGGGTTTGGTTTGGTTTTGGATCTAAAGTATGCTCTATCACACAATGCTATTTTGACTATTTAAGAGGATCAAAGGGTTCACTAGGAAACATTAAATATGCCATAATTTCACAATAAAATATTCATTTAATTTACAGCTTTTAAAGATGTGTGATGTTTCCTGTGTTAACATCAGATAAGTTAAACTTAACTATTTTAGGATATTTTAATGGATTAACCAATTTTTTTAGGATATCACAATTTCTTTTTTTATAATAATAAACAGATTTATTTGTTATGATATAACATCAATTGCCATAGCTGTAATAAAACAGAATATTATTTCAGTATTTGCAGTGAATTTGAAGCAATCAGAGAGCATGCATTGAAAGTCCCTGATACAACAGAAGAGATGATGGAAATGATAACTTTTGTAGAAAATGCCCGAACGTGTGGAATTCAAGAGTTGATTTTACGGATTAAGGTAAGAATACTCATCTATATATACATATAACAGTCCTGGTGTGGCACTGTAGGATAAGTACTAGACTGCTTACCACAAGGTTTGTGATTCAAAACCTCCCTCCAGCTGCTCCTAGGAAACCCTGTACAGGGTTGCTATGAGTTGAAACTGTCTTGATGGCACTTAACAACAACAGTATCTTGCCTGCTGCTTCCGTGAGTGTTGATAGTTGATCCAAGAAGAATGAAATCCTTGACAACTTCAATCTTTTCTCTGTTGATAAGAATGTTGTTTACTGGTCCAGTGGTGAGGATTTTTGTTTTCTTTACATTGAGATGTAATTCATACCCAAGGTTGTGCTTTTTGATTTTCATCAGTAAATGTTTTAAGTCCTCTTCACTTTCAGCAAGCAAGGTTATATCATCTGCATATCGCAGGTTGTAAATGAGTCTTCCTCCAGTCCTGATGCCACATTTTTCTTCATATAACCCAGCTTCTTGGATTATTTGCTCACCATACAGGTTGAATAAGTATGGTGAAAGAATACAACCCTTTCGTACACCTTTCTTAATTTTAAAGCATTCAGTGTTCCCATGTTCTGTTGGAACAACTGCCTCTTGGTCCAGGTACAGATTCCTCATGAGCACAGTTAAGTGTTCCAGAATACTCATACTTTGCAATAAGTGTATATAGAAGGTTGTATATATATGTTGTTGGTATTAAGTACCATCGAGTCAGTTCCAATTCATAGTGACTCCAAGGAGAGGTTGGTGAGTTTGAACTGCTGACCTTGTGGCTCAAACCAACCTTGAGGTCCAGTGCTTTATCCCACAGTGCCACATCAGGACTCTCTCTCTCTGTATGTAGGTATGCATGCATGTATGTGTGTGTGTGTATTTGTTGTTGTTGTTATGTGCCGTGGAGTCGGTTCCGACTCATAGCGACCCTATACAGGGTTTCCAAGGCTGTAAATCTTTACGGGAGCAGAAAGCCTCATCTTTCTCCTGCGGGACAGCTGGTAGTTTCGAACTGCTGACCTTGCAGCTCGCAGCCCGATCCGTAACCACTACGCTACCAGAGCTTCCTATTTCATATATATATAATTAAAGCAAACAAATCCAAAAGCTTAAATTAGCCTTTGAATCTGTATTTCAGTCCTTAAAAATTCTATAACTGTAGATTGATCAGTGAAATCTATAGCCTACACACTGCTATCAAGCAGATTCCAACTCATAACCACCCTATGTAGGTTTTTTTTTTATGGGAGTGGAGTGGTTGGTGGGTTTGAACTGCTGGACGTTCTGGTTAACAGCCCAATGCCTAAGCGACAGGGCCGCTAGGGGTCCTTGTTATTAAGTGTAGTTGAGTTTGTTCTGACTCATAGTGACCGTATATAGAGAAGTGGATAGTGGGTTTGAACCAACAATCATGCAATTAGCAGTCCATGCTTATCCTGTAGCTCCACACTAGGACTCCTTAGTAAATGCTATGTTGTTGTTAAGTGCTGTCGATTTTGTTCCAACTCATAGGGACCCTGTATAGGACTTCTAGGAGTCCTGGTGTGATGCTGCAGGTCAATGTGCTGGACTGTAAGGTCGGTTTCAACCATAAGGTCAGTGATTCAACCTCACTAGCTGCTCCCTTGGAAAACCAATACAGGGTCGCTGTGAGTCAGAAGTGACACTACAGCACTTAACAATAACAACAACAATAGGACTTCTGAGGAGTACCTGGTGGATTTGAATAGCTTAACTTTGCACTTAGCAGTCCAGTGCTTCCACAATTCCACACCTGGGGTGTGTGTGAAAATATCCAACTTTCATATCATATATTTCTTTTGTTTTGGAAGGTTTTTTCCTTTTGCCATTCACTCCCAAACTTTATCTGGTCTACTCACTGTCTGCTGAATGAGCAGAAAAGGTGGTAATGTTACTGAAGATGTATAGCAAAACAAAAGTTGTCAAAATCTGTGCCCCCAAAGATTAAAAAACAAATAAAAACATAAGTAGAAAGCTTAAAGGATTGCAGAACAAATGCTGTGCATTTGATCACCTTCTTTAGTCACAGAGGAGAAAGATCAAGAATACTATTATGCTTACTGCAATAGAAAACTAAAAAAAAAAAAAAAAGTCCCCCTATGTAAGTATACATTTTTATAGTATGAAGCTTCATATTACAAAAATGCATATTTCTTATATGGGAAAGTGCTGTTGAGTTGGTTCTGACTCATAGCAACCTTCTACAGGGTTTCCAAGAAGCATCTGGTAGATTTGAATGCCAATCTTTCTTTTGCTTATCCTACAGTACCACACCAGGACTCCAAATATATAATATAGCTTTTAAAACATCCATTTGATTTTGTTGTATCATATAAATATGAGTTAATAATCTGAGTCAAATTGAAATTTGAAGAATTAGAAACTGTTTCTTTTTTTCATAAAACCTTAGACTTTCAATATAGTGTATTATATCTTGAATTTCTTTTGTAGGAATCCGAACGCCGAATGAGTTACTTTTTAGATGTTTTTCTATTTCCTCCAGAAGACTTGGCTTTAAATGCAGCTGTCCTACTGTGGCCTGGAAAAATTAATCCTATTTTTGATGAAAATGATGAGGTAAATTTGTTTTTCTGTATGCATTCTTCTGTTCTGACACTTTTTAGCACAGTGTTCATATTTAATTGTCATAAGTACTTGTCATCTACTTTAAAAAAGTAAGTATGTGTTAGTATGAGATTGAAACTAAGGACAGGCAGTTAGGTCCTCACTCACAGGGCCTGGCAAGTAGTGAGACTGGCATTAGAGAAGTGAGAACTATTATATTAACAAAATAACAGTAAGTTTTGTGCTAAATGCTCTTCATTTATTAAACCATTTAATACCCGCAATAATCCCAAGTATTAATCTTCATCCCAATGTATAGATGAGGAAAACAAGACACTGAGGAGTTAAATTGTGATACTTGCTCAGTATCAAAGAGATATGAAGTAGCAGAGTTAAGATTTCATATTAGAGTTCATATTTTGAGAAGGTCCTAACATAAACCAGCTCATCAGAAATTGGGAAGTGATGTGGTAACATAATGAAAATAATGGGCTTCCGTCAGATAGAGTTAGCTGTATGCTAATCCAAAACTCAGCTTTTACTGTTTTGTGGCTTGGGCATGCCTCGGACCTCTATAAGCATCAATTTCTTCATCTCTAAAATGAGAATAATAATAATACTTATAATAATGAAGTTAGATGTTTAATTATTCTTGACACATAATATATGATAGATAAATAAATGGCAGCTTTTAGTATTTTCCTAGAATCTGTTGAATAGTTAAAAGTTCTCATTAATAACTAAAAATTGTGAAAGTAATTTTGGAGATCTAGGAAAAATTTCTTGAGTGGTTTATTATTTCACTTTTATATCAGTCATTAAAAACATTGTTTTAGTTTTTGTTTCCATTTTTACTTCTCTGATGGTATTTGTTACTATATGAAGCATTCAGATTTCTGTTTTTATAACCCTGTCTTATTAATAAAATAATAAATGAGACTAAATTATCTTTTAAAAAGCTCATTGAGTCTGCTAAACATAAAAAAGAGAATGAACTAATAGCCAAGAGAGAGAAACTGATTTTGGAATTAGAAAAAGAATCACGCCGCATGGAAGAATTTACCGAATTTGCAGAGCTGGAACGCATGCACCAGGTCTGGTAAATATGTACGGTAGTACTTATAGTAGGTCTATAGGTTTAATACAGGGCATATTTAAATAACTTAAAAATATGGAGTAAAATATCTTATGATGGCAAGCAAGGGCCTGACATTTACTTGGTATTGTCTATGTGATTTTTTGTGTGTGACTTAGTTTTCTGTTTGTTAAGTAGACATAACTTTACCTTTTGTTCTCTATGTTGCGTAATGTTGTAAAATTAATATTCAAAGTTGCTATGTAAGTTCAAGGGCATAGCTCATCATTATCCTATAATCTTACTTTTATAACATTACTTGAATATTTCTTGAGATAAAAATCTGTTTTCTTTCAGTATGTGGCAGATGTTAGGCAACTGCAAAAACGTATTCAGGAATCTGAGGAAGCAGTTCAGTTTATTAATAAAGAAGAGGAGCTTTTCAAGTGGGAGTTGACAAAATATCCTGAACTGGATAAACTGAAAGTTAACATTGAGCCTTATCAGAAGTTTTTTAGTTTTGTTTTGAAGTGGCAACGAACAGAAAAACGGTAATTTCCATTTCTTGTGATGCAATAAAAATTAAGCAAATAATGTTAAAGGATTATAAATTGAATTTATTTTCTTAGGTGTTCGAAATAGTACTTAATCTACTTAGTTTAAAGTGAACTAAATATGGGCAAAGCATCAAGTGCTGCTAAAGTGCCACCTAACTTTACTCATGTATTATTGGAAGTCTCATTCTTTTTTTGTTTCCAGAACCAATTAACTTTTGTGCAATTAATGAATTTATTTGACTATTGTTTACACCCAAGGTTAGAAATGTGGAGTCAAATTTGCATTTTGTTTGGATAACTTTAGTCTCCCATTTGCAAATCTGATACATATTAGCTCCCTCAGCGTAGCTGAAATGATGGTTTTAGTTCTGTCTCTGTACCATCAGTTTTACTTTTAGGACTGAGAAAAACTAACTGCTCTTGCCCTCAGTTGTTTTTTACCTAAAAGTTCCATAAGATCCCTTCAAATTTCAAAAGTCTCTGAGCTCAGTGCCATTTAAAAAACCTCTCATTTCAGGTGGATGGATGGAGGTTTTTTGGACCTCAATGGGGAAAGCATGGAAGCTGATGTAGATGAGTTTTCCCGAGAAATTTTTAAGACACTGAAATTTTTCCAAACAAAACAAAAGAAGGAATTGCAAGAAAGAAAAAAGGCAGCAAAAAGACGATCTTTGGTAGAAGAGAAAACTGAAGAAGAACCCAAAGACAATCCTACTATTACTATGTGCTCTGCAGTAATGGAACAAATAAAAACCTTTAAGGTATGAAAATTTGACATTTGAATATTATAAATGTATTTTCAACTTTGTAATGAGGTCATAACTATTTTCAGAATACATATAATTTAAACGTATATGTACTTTTTTGTATCTGCAAAACACTTAGATAGAAAAGGATTTTTGAGTCCAGAGAAATTGTTGATCCACAGACTCTTTTTTTTTTTTTTAAAGCTTTTATTGTGAATTGAGTGATAGTTTATATGGGAGAACATTGGTTTAACACTCAACCAATTGTATATTGTTTTATTGCAATGATTGTTGTTGTTGTTGT